CAGCACGAGCCTTCTGAGGCTTCGGATGGCACCCGTACTCCATCAGACTCGATCCCTACGATTGGAAGACTGGGTAGGTAACTGGGTAACATCTTTCCCCGAACCATGGATGTTGTCTACGCGCTCCGTACCATCCAGATCCATCATTGGCAGCACATCGCGAGTACGTGCGCATTCCGAGACCCTAATGGGGCTCTTTGGGGTTAGCCAACCTAATTACTTAAAGCGTCTGGATTGCACGGTGGACTTTGCCGTGGCCGTAAGTAGTAGTAACTCGGTCCAACCAAAAACTCGCCGTCACAGATTGGCTGGGCCAGGGGGGAGGGAGAGTCGAAGGATGATATATTAGCTGATCATTGGTTTTGATGAAGCGTGTAAATTTCTGAATAATTCCAGCCACCACACCAGTAATTAGTTAGAGATGCTTTACTCCGCGAGTCAATAATACATTAGTCTTGGGTCTCGGGGGCAAGACGAAGGGGAGCTCAAACCGCGTCTTCTCAAGGAGAGTCCACACTCAACCCGCACGGCTGCCAATTCCGCTCAGAGACGATGGGAAGCACGTCCCGGTAAACCGTGGTATTAACCTTCTTATCCATCCCCAGCCCACTCTCTCGTCTTTAGTACCTATCAGAGAGTTTTAGACTTCCAGGCTCTCTCTCTCTCTCTCTCTTGTTACTAGTATCTAATTAGTGCCTTCGTTTCCCCATTTTTGGGTGGAGACGTAACTTGACTCGCGTCGCGCTGCAAGTGCATCTGCAACGGTCATAGCTTGCTGAGGCCCTTGGCGATCTCAAGCTTGACTGGCGATAGTGAAACCAATATACGACGTTTAGAGAGTAATAACACGACTTCCTGTGTATGCTATCTACTGTATCTTCTATCTCTACAGCAGAGATACCTGTCGTTCACTATGCTCGCACTGTCAAAGAACCAACCAACCCCTGTTCACCAACCGCCGCGGAAATGCAGGGCCTGAGGTCTGTGTCCAGCAAAGCCACAGGGATATAGATAACAGGTATGGTACCTGATAAGTGATACTGTACTCATCTTTATGCTATTCTCGCATTGACACTTTTTGCCTTGGCACCCACTTCTCGGATGATGTGTATGGTATCTAATTAGCAGGCAGTTGCCTTCTGATACACTTTCGTATGACTGACTGATTAGTCACGAACACATACAAAAAACGACACAGTACTTTCTGAGCTAATTTGACCCATCATATCTAAAGACTCAGCATAACGCTTAGACACCTAGCGTCCGAAAGTCAAATGACTTGGGAGCTAACGGACGCAGGACTTAATGGTATACGCCGATCACGCAGTTTACTTCTGACAGTGGCTTCACACCAGACCTGCAAGAAACTCAAAACGTTATCCTGTTCATGACTGGATCACGCTCATGCTCGGCTTTATGCTTAAGGACATTTTGGTCTAACTAGTAGGAGACATACTGCGGTTATAACCATAACCACAGACACCGGTCGATCAAGTCCAGTCGGAATTGAAATGACTAGGGTTCGATATCAGCGTGCAGAAGGATCTGCGGTCAGGGAGCTGTCTTGCAGGGGGTGCGGTTGTCTGCAGAAGTGTCAGACTTGAGCTTACTGGTAGGTTGTCTGTTCCGCGTGGTGAGTCTTTGCGAGTGTTGTAAATTGAGCATAGCAGTGAGTCTGTTGAGAGATATCAGCAGAATGCTCAAGAAGCAAATCCACAGATATGTAGCGTGATTTGTGTTTACTCTCAGTCTACAAAATACAAGATTTCAGGATCCAACTGCTCATCATGGGACGAATGAGGATACGCATTGGATCATTATTCCTTCGCGTTGATCATATGCTTCTAGGTATATTTCAAGCTCGAACGCTCCAGTATCTAGGTAAAGGCACTAGCAATTTATCTCATGGCTCAATCTGCTTTTTACATTGACTGACACGCTCCTTCATCCAAACGAGGCATGCTCCATGCAGGATTGTTTGACGTCGACATGTGACACAATGCCATGCGATTAGAAGCTCCATATTATGGCTAGTCAGTGATAACAGCCGAGAGGACGAAACGGTGACAAAGCAATGATGTCCATGACCTCAGTATCAGTTTTGCATCGTGGGAGCAATGTAGCCTCATCTATCCAGCAATTTATAACGCTCATTCTCCTACAATCCTTCGAACCTTCGAGGTATCAACCTAGTCCGTATATGACCTCTTTCACTATAACTCTGCAGATCATGCGGATATTCAAAAAGTTATATTCCAAAAACCACGGGCATACAACATTAAAGCATCAACATTATATCCCAAGCAATACAGGACTACCATACCCAAACATCCAAGCATCCAGAAATCCAGAGGTCGTAACAACATTACCCCCAATCCATACGCCCATTACCAAAACACCAGGCACTATTCTCACCCCTCCTAGCCCCGAAAGGAAGTAAAGCCGATACAGCCCCTTATGATCAGATACCTAGCCAACAGCAACAATCAAGCCACCCCCAATCTCGCACATACTCGGTCATAATCTGCAGCCAGATGATTTCATCCACCATTACCTAGTACATCCTCACCGACATGGAATGGTCTCCATCTATTCTTCAGTACTAGCTCAACTTAATCCCTCAAAGTAAGCATCATCACCCACGTGCTATAGAAACCGTCAGACGGACCGTAACTTAGCTAGTTAGGACTACCCTTCAGATTCATTGGCTACACTGCCCTAACTACTACGATTTAGTCAGTTTCATACTGATACCGATGTCTCTAGGTACCTTCCAGACTAGGTTAACAGTCTGTGCTCGGAGATATATCGGCATTTATACTCTATAGTAATTAACTAGTTGTCGGGAGTGAGCGGGTGACTAGGCGGGTGGATTCGTCATCTACGTAGTAATTATTCATTCTAGAACATTTGACAATGATATTGTGTTGTATTAAGTGAGTGGATGAAAAAATGAAAGCATGTGAAGAAAGGAGAGAGGAGGTTACCCCGGTGGTGTGATATTCCTCGGTATCTGAGTAGGGTCTCAGCCGAGGCAGTAATTATTGGTGTCAGCTTATGGACGACATTGGAGATATTTTGCGGGGGTATTATCGTCGGGGTCAGATGGTTCTGGGTGCAGGAGAGATGGGGGCTGAAGAATCGGGATGGGTGGTATAGGGATGGGCTGACGTTGGATAGTGAGCTGTGGTGATGGTGTGGTGGTGTCAGTTACGGGGAGATGGTGGATGAGGGTATGTATACAAGATCATTCGATTTCACTCGTGTTGATGATTACTGTGAGTTGAGTATGTAGAATAGATATATACGGGTTGTTCGTGGATATGATGTCCGTATGGAGGAAGTTGTAGGCTGAGTATACATATACAACAGTTACTATATGGGCAGTGGTTGATAGATACAAACATACACGAGCATCTAGCATGACTTAACTCTAATAATCAATGCTTGTATTCTACATTAAATCAAAAAAAGTAGTATAAAGTAGTGACATGAAATAAAGCACATGAACCACTACACGAACCACAAATGTTAGTTATACACCACCCGCGAGACAACAATTATCAGGCTTAAGCTTAAAAGCAAACACCAATATACTTAATGAAATGTCTTAGCACCTTGCTTCTCAATTACATTTAATGTCTAACAACAATACATTAAACCTTTGATCATCACGAGGGGTATTCAGCAAGGAGGCCATAACCAGGGGAGGGGGGGAAATTAGAGAAGAGATGATCCCCCTCACGGCACTACATACTGTCTGTCAATCTACTACTCAGACAGACACTAACTGTAGCAGATGATTATCATACCCCTCTATCAAGGGATACTTCACACATTCACAATAATGGTCAAGTAGTAAGCAGAGTACTTCGTAAACTCGAATGAAACATCCATCCCTGCCTAGATCCCGAGTCCGACACTAGTTGAGCTAGAACTACGGAGTACACGGAAATGAGCATAGCAGGAACCCAGATTCCGGCGACAACCTTTCCCTTAATCATATTCCATATGCTAGAAGATAAGTACACAGGTAGTGCAAAAAAGTTATTAATCTCAGTTACGGAGTAGTTAGGAACTATACCCGGGCACTCCGATACCCACCACCCAACTGCAATCTAGGTCCAGATCCAGGTCCCAACGTTGCCCATCATCTAAATCCATCCATCATCCATCATCAATCCATCAATCCCACCAACCAACCCACTTCTCCTTAATGAGCATACTAAATCGAACCAATACCTCGGATCAACAACGGCACTCCCCATCGACCGTATTCCGTAGAAAGATGAATAGAAAAACAAGAAAGACAAACTTAGATAGTACGCCCGATTAGTTAGCTGATCACATCCCGTTTCCGCGCATTCCTCAACCAATCCAACCCCATTGTCCACGTACTAGTCAGTCTCAGCTAGAAAGTTAGTTTAACCCCGTTTCCCCCTTTTTCTTGCATTCACTTTAGTCTACAATAGTTAGGAAAGTAGGATTCGAGGAACCACTGTTTTCCTTGATTCCCAAACATCCGGTTGGCAGGATGATGTGGACGAAGGATCCGATTGATGATGGTGTGGGTGCTTCGAGAAGAATTTTCGAGCCTTCTTTTTTTCCTCCTTCTCTGGTGGCTGGTGGGTGGGACGGTGTTATTTTTATTGATTATGGGGCGCGGCTAGGTTTATGGATGGGTTAGGGATTTCTAGATTTTTCTGTGGTGTTTATCTTATGTTATCTTGTGTGTAGGAGGGAAGCTGTGTGTACGGAGTAGTCTAGTAATTGTCTGTAGAGATACGATGATAATGCCTGTTGTGCATTCCAGCTCAGTTGATTGGTAGGCTATGAATTGGGTAATGGTGTTCTAGACTTATGCTATCATTATGGATTCCGATGACTTCCCTGGATCCGGCTTTGTTTGGATAGTTGGTAGTTGGGGCTCGGGGAGCAATTCCTTTGACTTAGCTTAGAGTTCGAGTTCAGCGACGGGTTCTTGTCCGTCTTGTTGGCTGGTCGGGGAAGATGCATATTGGAAGTTAGTTTGCTTGGTTGCGAGTACGTAGTTGGTCCAATGGTGTAGACACGCGGTTAGTATGAAACAGATGTTTATCTCCTATTCGAATTGCTTGGTTGTGGATGGATGTGAAGTAGTGAGTAGTAGGATTTAAAACGCGGGTTGATATGGGAAGTTTGCAGTATACTAGTAACATAATTGCCGGTGATGGAGACGGCGCTATATATTTGGTTTCTGGGGTTAAGGGTTTCTACAATGAGTACTATTGTATTATTCCTATGTTAAATGGGGGAAGTACGCTCTATAGCGTTCTATTAGTACTGCTCGATAAGAGGACGAAATCGAATTTAGGTTTGAATGAAGGGAATACTACAGTTTTCCTCATAGAAACCATGTTCCATGGGATATGCTTACTACCGCAATATATATTTCGGCATCCAGGAATGCACAGAATATACTACGACGACCCATCATATCACATAATCCCGATCATATCCAGAGCCAGATTCCAGGGCCTACATATCCAGAAGTTACTCCTACCACTAACCACAAGTCTCCGATAAACTACGGAGCAGAATCCGGACTCCGTGTCGTAGCATCTGTATATCATCAGGAACCGACGGGAGTGAACCATGGAACCAACCAGTATCCCGGCCACGAACCCCGACTGACAGATAGCTTTCCATGGTTAAGCTGATCGCATGCAACTACGTGTTTAGAATATCCTGGACTACGGCACCAAGTTCTATCGAAAACCAAGCCGAATTAGGCGACTACAGTGTATACATCCGTTTGCTGATAGCGCGACGCGAAGAGACTACCGTATTTGGCGGGCCCCATCGCAGCTATTGCCACCAGGCTAAAGTAACTGCCGATGTCAGTGGAACTGCTGAAGTTAGGTCTAGGGTTAGGGAAGGGCATCGCACAACGCACAAACCAGGAAAAGAAAAGCGGAGCGCTGCGGTGGAGGGGAGAGATAGAAAAATTGAAGAAAAAAGGAAAGGAAAAAGAAAAAAATAGATGGAAAACTTGTCAGACGGATTTCCGGAGTACTAACCTACCCACAGATGGAGCAGCTTATCAGCTGGAAGAGCGGGTTCATCATTGAGTGGGTCGCTTTCATTATCGAGAATCTGCTCCTTCAAAAATTTTCTTTGTCTTGGAACCCGTGTCTTCTGCTTCGACTCCGTATGCTCTGGAAACTTGTTGTTCATCCAAGAAGTTGTGGGACCTCTCATGACAGCAGACCATATTTTCAATGCCATGTGTAGAAAAGCGATGCCCAACCTGATAGTATCTAGAAGCGGTCAAGGAATCCTTCCACGGGGATCAAGATCAATCCCCAACGGCACCAAGACGGTGATGGTTGACATCCTTCACCGACTCCAGGGATGCCCGCCTAGGATATTCCAGACCGTTCGGAGATGGAGGGGCACTTAGTACGGAGCACTACTGCCTAATTACGTGACGGATGGACGGATCACGGGCGCCGCCGACCAGGGTCGATGCAAACCGCCAAAGTCCCAAAGTTGTCGGGACGATGAGCGCCAGCCGAGATAAGTAGACTTTTTCTCTTCCACTTCCTAGCCTGGGATGGCTGCCGACGCTTGCTAGTGTAAGGGCCGGGGTTTCGGGGAAGAGGTTCCTGATTTCCTGCAACGGTACCTGGTGGAGTTGGACGCGCCTGACTGGATCATAGACGCCCTGTGGAAATTCAATTGAAGATTCATTAGCCATAGTTGTGGAATCCGGCGATCGACCCTTCGCGACGAAGCTGATCGACTGCATCTTTGGTGCAAAGGAGGAAATAGAACGGGTAGCTGCAGGGTAAAGAGCCAAATCAGAAAGCCAGAAGGGGTTTCTTCGCTTTTCGAGACTGGTTTTTGAGGTTTAGCCCCCTTTTTTTTGTTTTCAGGTAGGTGTGAAAACCGAATGAACGATATCCAAGAGAATGGACTCCCAACCCACCGAATCACCAAAGGTATGGAGGACACGCTCCCGCCGGAGAAAAGCGAGCCTGGATCGGAAATGATCGATCATGGATGGGAGGATCGGTATGTACGGGAGTTTTGCACTATTGCCCCCCTCTCTTGACCCCGTGCGCCGGTCTAGGAAATCGATGCATGGTCCGTACGCAGGTGCTCGATATTGCCTGATAGATGAAACCCCAAGCGACTTGTTCCCAAGTTGTTGACACCCTTTCGACCAACTGGTAGGTCGTCATGAGTATCTCGCGTCGTTCCTGGACCTGCAAGCTCGTAACATCCTTCCATGAGATACAGGACAAGCTGAGGCGTTGACTGGGTCGGACCGCTGCATGGCTCGGAAAGTGGATCAAGCACCTCAGAAGTGATAGTGAACGAATCGAATTTGCCAGGGTTCGACCTCCAAACCGAGGCCGTCGAAATTCGGGCGGCTGGACGTGTGAGAGCAGGCCGAGTGTCTGGATTTGACCTTTCTGCTGTCCATCCTTTTCCGACCTTCTCAAAAGCGTAAGCGCCCCGGCTCACCGCTTTATTCCTGCAGGCCGAGCTCCTGGCAGATGAAAGCGGTGAGAATGGAGTACGTAAGAATGAGTTGCTCAGGCACTAATGCTGATTAGGATTCTGGGGCCTGCATCTGGACGGATCCCTCGGGTGGAGACTCAGAATCGCTGATGCCTCTAGGGCTGTCTATCATGGGATGATGGAAGCGGCGCCTCTCTGGCTTATCGCAATCAATGGCTAGCATGATAGCAGTCAGAGTATCCCAGTTCTTTCTGTAGTTAGTGACATGCATTTGGGGGATAGCGATCGTGACCGTATTGATCTTAGGGGCGGGCATGTTGGAAGGACGCTCCTCGGTAACTCGATACAATGCGCCCAGATGATCCGCAGGCAGTGAGAGCCAAAGCACCACCCCTCGGTCGTGGCGGTGGAAAGATAGATTAAACTGATTCATTGTTCTGGATATCTACTCCGTAATTATCGGATGTATGCGATCCTCCTGGGGTACTTTTGTGCTCCCCTCATGATCATGTGCGTTTCCCTAGTAACTAACCGTGTCTGGTGGGGTTTCTATGAGGTCCACCCAGTGATGCCCCACTCGCGTGCCGGGATTTTACGGGAACCTTCGTGGTGGTGGTGATGATGATGGTGATACTGTCTCTGAGATTGAGAATGAAAATAGGCTTCATCATTTCTATGGTTTAGAATGAAACAAAAATATCTGAGACTGTTCTAAAATCATGGTCGGAATATCTTCCCGTATCATTCCCAGAACCAAGTTCAGGATGGAAACGCCAATCAATCCGGGTTTGCCTATGATGGTCGAACCAAGGGGCCAAGGACAGGCCCGGAACTATCGCTCAGCGTCATCTGACCGTGACATATTTGTACTTGCAACTGTGTAGCTAACGAGCTAACTACGTCCTTGTCTACTTACGTATGTAATCTGTCCCCCTCCCCAAGGTGGATCGTTTACTTTTTCGACGGCGACGCGGAACGAGGGCGCGTCTCCGAGTGAGGCTGGTTAGGCGCGACTGCGGGCGTGCAGGCAGCCACAAGTAACCTGCCCTAGGGTACCTCTGGCTTCAGACTAACTCTCTCTGTCGAAGGGCCGGGTTCCCCATGCCACTTATGCAGTTGAGACTAGGTAGTCGGTGTTAGGTTGATGCATCTTCGGCTTGGATGCCAAACTGCCAAAAACAGAAACAATAGTGTTTGGGGATGATGCAGTCTTGCAGCTTCCCAAGGTCCAGGTTGGATCGCTCCAGAACATGAGTTTTGTCTGCTGTCTCAAGCTTTTGCATTATCCATTTAGCGTCCAGGATGGAGTAATTCTGTAGTATTTTGTGTCCCACGAACAAGGACACCTGATGTAGCCCGCCCACACGCTCGGTGGCCGAAATCCAGTGGATTGCTTTTCCAAAGTACTAAGTTAAGGTGGGGGGAGGGGGAAAAGAGGAGGGGAAATGGGGCCTGGCAAGCGAGCAAGAAGAATTGGAAACGAAACAGCGTCCATCGCCCTACGGAGGGTTGTGTTTCTGACCCTTGATTTCCTTCACCTGCTGACGCTGGCTGTCGTGTTGGCGGCCGCTGGAGCAGCTGACCCTGAGCTGAAGTGGGAGGCAAACCATGCGCCATGTTTGAACCTCTGACCACCTTTCACCCAAGGTCATTCTGGCGTTCGCAGTGCATCGCACGATTAGCTTTTTCTTTTTTCAGATAGTCCGTTTTCCTTTTTCTTATTTTTTCTTTACCTATTTAGTCCAGGGGACATCCAATGAAGGCCAAGAGGCTTGCCAGAAATTTAGGGATGTTAGAGTGTGTTCTTTAGGCTACCGATAGACTGGGCGATGATCTGTCAAACTGAGAGACATCACATCGTCAGCAATATTCTCCTATTGCTGCGTGATGACGGGTGGCTTTATCAGCCAAACACGATTCATCTCCCGCCCTCTATCTGGCTTCAACTGACTTGGCAACATGAAGGATTTAATTCAAAATGCCGCGCGAAGCTCTTGTGTTCGCAAAGTGGTTCGTGAAATGCGCTCGCGAACCATTCTATATTTGTACTTTGTAGACATTCGAATGAACCAACACTCGTCATTGTGACGGACGGAAGAAGGGGAACGGAGAAGAGAGGGGGTCTGGAACAACGGCAGCGCTCGATTTGAAGATCCACCGGGGCTAGTTCTCGTCGGAGTTAGACGGGCAATCCCACTCACACAAATTGGATCGCATGGAAATGAAGTCATGACCAGCCTTGCGGCGGGCGGCCGATTATCAAATAACTAGTGGGTTATCTACGACATAAGTAGGGATTACCGACGGTGATCCCAGCGAGCCGATTTACCAAAGAGGGGTTTAAAGAAGGGTTAGACTTCAAAAAGAGGGGAGGGAAGGAGGGGGAGTTTAGAGGGGGATAGAGGGGTAAGGAAGTGGGTGGCGGGATACGGAGGGATACAAATGGAGTAACATTAGATGATCGAGAAGAAGAAGTAAGAAAAAAAAGTAAAAATGGGGAGAGAAAAAGGGATGATGATGGTTGATGATAGATATGCGGATTATTGAAGGATGAGATGAGTACGTAGGTACGATCAGCGTGAGGAATGAGCGCCCGGTTTGGACGAATCGACCACTTGATTTGGATGTGAAGAGATTCCGTGGTGGAAATGAAGGGAGCCAATACACGAATCATGATGGCAGTGCGTCTCCGTGGCATTTGGATGGTGCTGGATCCCTGCCGGAGGGGCAAGGGGGGGCTGACGAGGGGCGAAAAAATTAATTTTTGTAGGCAGAAGAGGGGACGGAGGGGAAGGGAGGGGGCACTAATCTGTTGGCTGGACGGGAGTTTTGTGAGAGAGAAAAGAGAGAGGTGAAAGTGCGTGTCTGCGATGGATTCTCAATTCAACCTGCAAACTTACAGTCTAACCTCTTCGAGCCTGTTCCCTTTAACCCCCTTCTCCTCTCTCATCTATCGAGCACCCTCTTCCCTCTAATTACTGTGGACCATTTTCATGCAATGACCAAGATACATCGACTGGAATTGTAGTCTAATGCTGTGCCCTGACCTTTGTCTACTGACAATGGTCAATGACAGTATCTACCTGTCTCTTGGACGGCCCCGCAGCCGACTGTACCAAGTTTGCGATTTCTGCGCTGTCACATAGGGATGGGCGATAGGGATAGGGACCATTTGGCTTTTCTTCATCTTACTTGCACCCGCTGCGATTGAGGATTACAGCAGGTAATCCGAACCTCACTCAGTTCCTCGGTGCTAGTCATGTCCGCTTCAAGGTTACTAAGACAACCTGAAGTCTTGTCCAGTGTCCTCCTCACTGCATTGTACCCATCGAGCTACCACTTGTACCCACTGAACAAAGTTACATACCATACCGTATGGAGTCCTCATTCCACCCCCAACCCCACTATGAAATAATATCGATGGGAAGTGGGAGAGAATCGAAAGTCGAGCCTGCCATCCAGCGTCCGCATGAATTTTGTGTGGTCAGTTAGGCAAGTCGCAGGAATACACCGTAGAAGCTCTGCTGGCCCATTATTATCCTTCTAGGGTCCTGCACTCGACCGCTGAAAGGTGAGCGAGGGGCACCATCACCAAATAGGGATAGGAGCATTATCCGAGTGGGTTAACCCTAGCAGGGGATATTTGATCATGAGAGTATCGACTGTGCGCTGTGTAAGAGAGGGGATGTATAATGTTCCCAAGAAGATATGACGATTAACTACGGTGTACTTTGGAGTCAACCAACCAACAAAACTAACCATCATGTCAATCATGATCCAAATCTATCCCAGATCACATCATGAGTCTCGATAACTCACCAGGGGAAACATGTAGGATGCTGCCCAATGTTATGCATATGAAGAGTAAATTTTCTTTTTTTCTTGCTCGGATCATTTTTTCGGATATTGAGATCATTGTGTTTCTTTTCGATTTTCTTTTTTATTTTTTATTTTTTATTTTCTTTATTTTTTTCCTTCTCACATTTTCCATTTCCCATTTTTTGCCTTTTTCAGTAGCAGTAATAGTGGGTGCAAAATGGAAAATGGAGAGTGGATAAGATTCTCCCTCACATCAACCCAAGACCTCTAACAAACGGTCGATTTCAGCCAGTCGAAGGAGGCCCCCCGGCTGAACCGGGTTGACGGGTTGGAAGTCTACTACTGTACGGCCCATGTGGGCTGCAGTGGGCTGGGCTACTGCTTTGTTTTGTTGTCTGTTCCTTTAGCTGTGTAGATAGTTTGTATGATTTTTCTATTTATTTTATTTATTCTATTATATTTTTATTCATCACTTTGCAGTTAGATCCATTTTTGTTTTGAATTTTTATTAATTTTGAATTTCATTTTTGCTTATTTCCCTGAACTTTTTTGTCTCTTTTCGAAATATGGGTCACCGAAGGAAAGGTGGACGTGTCCTAACCAGGTTCCGTTTAGCCCGGGCACGCCGTTAGTCAGAATGGGCGACCAGCAAAACAATTGGCTGTCGGGGAATGAAGACGGTGGCATTATGGGCCCCAGTGCGTGGTCGAATCCGGGGACTGGCCTGTTCGCTTGTTTTCCCCCTCCGTCAGTCCCGCCGAGGGAGCCCCTCTTTCCCGCCTCCCACTTCCCTGTTGTCGCTGCGCCGCTCGTCGCCCAAATCGCCAACACCGCCGCTGGACACGACCGCCTCACTGTCGCGATCCAGCGATCGCCCGAATCGCCCATCGGCTTGTGCCCACGTCCTGGCGCGTTCTCTCTACACCCACACCACTTTTCCCTCTGCTCAAGTCTCCCTCCCCCCCCCCCTCGCTCCCTTCCTTTCGACCAGGCCTTTTTTCCCAGGACTCTCTCTCCCGCAACTCACAAACTACTTTCTCCTCATCCATTCAACATCCCCCCCCTCCTCTTACCCATTCTTTTTCTCTTCCTTTCCTCCTCCTCTTCTTCTCTTCTCTCAAACGCCTTCCTCCTTCCTTCTTCCCCCTCCTCCTCTTTCTCTCTCCTCTTCTTTCGTGGGTCAGCATTCAACATCTTGCTCTCTTCCTTTTTTCTTTTCTTTTCCTTTTCCCTATTGTTTGTCTATTCCCGTTCTGTCTTTCCCATCCTTTGGTACTTCCCCTCCTCGGCTTCTTATTAAAGACTGCCTCCACCACACAACCATCACCAATACTACAACCATAACCCGCTATCACACTATTCTCTCCTCCTAGTCCGCCTGTGGCTGGACCTCCCTTATTCCAATTCAACACTGCCCTCCAGTATTCCCCCACGCAAGGAATGATCAGGCACCAAACCGAATTCCTGTCGTCTACCCGCCTACAGAACCGGTGTGAAATCACAAAAGGGACGATAGCGCAGTCTTCGATCGTGTCGCTGCTCTACTAGGATTCAGCCGTGGTTGTATATTCGCTGCAGTATTCTCAGCAATGGCTCCCACTGCACCTCCCCAGGCGACCAACTCGCCAGCCAAGAAGACATCAGCCCCAGAGAAGAAATACAAGTGCCAATTTTGTAATCGCGCCTTTAGCAGAAGCGAACATCGCAGCAGACACGAACGTTCGCGTAAGTAGAGTGGTTTTCTTTCTATATGGTCGGCTTTCCTGTGCGCGGGGCTAGGTGTGCTGTCTTCGTGCAGGCAGGCTAGTTACTGTGCTGCGGCTGTGTTTCGCGTCATTTAGTCTTTAGGCACAATACTAACCTTTGTTGCTTTATAGATACCAAGGAGAGGCCGTTCAAGTGTCTGAAGTGCCGGAGTACTTTCGTGCGCCGTGATTTACTCCTTCGTCATGACCGTACCGTTCACGCAAAGGACGGTGGGATACCGCTAGTTTCCGAGGGCCGGCGACGTGGTGGCGCGGGTGTCCAAAAGACTTCCCCCGCCCCCGGCCCGTCTAAGCCCTCGATCACAATTGATCCTGCTACTCTCGAACAAATAGAGGCCAGCAGTGATGGTATGGTTGATCTTGAAACTGCAGCCATGTTGATGACAGATTTCCAACATAAGGCCGCAGCTGCCGCTACTGGTCAAGCCAATGAACGTGCTGAATCGGATCGCTCCTTTTCCCCTGGACGCGGTCCTCTATTAGAGCCTCCTGTGTCGTACATGTCGGGCAACGCGACCTTGCCGCAGATGCCTTGGGACACCCTGGTTTCCCCTGCTGACACGAAGCACCCGATGGGATCTCCGTTCGTGTCTCAAGACAGTAGCTCGGAATCGCATACGCTGCCCTCGGTTATGGACCGACACGGCGCCGTGGGTGATGCGCTTGCTCCCTCGCTGCACTCCCTGGTGAACTCGCTGCCCATGTCTGGAAACTCGACGCCGAATGCGCTGTCGCCGTATCCCTCGATGACTGGTCCCGTTAGTCCAGTGAACTACCGCCGGTCGCCTGGTCCTAGCCAAGCCCTGACGCTGCCCAAGGCTCCGCAGATTGCGAACGAGATCGAGCGAAACATGGTTGTTGAACGTCTGCACAATGTGGATTCTCTCAATGTGCTTCCCGAGACCTTCCAGCTTCCTCCGACCGCGTCTCTCAACAAGTATCTCTCAACGTACTTCAATCTGTACCACCCTCACCTGCCGTTCTTGCACCAAGAGTCTTTCAAGCCTACCGCTACTTCACCGCCATTGCTACTTGCGGTCCTTTCTATTGGTGCTCTGTACACCTTTGAGCGGCAGCATGCATTCATGCTTCACGTGGGGTCCAAGATGCTTGTCAACCAATTTTTGCAACACAAGGACAACTTTGACTCTCGCAAGTGCCCTCTCTGGGCCATGCAAAGTACCCTGCTGAACATGATCTTTGAGAGCTGGAGTGGTGATCCCAAGGGCCTCGAATGGACCTGTTCCATCAAGAGTCTTCTGGCCAATGTAAGAGCATCCCTGCCCCCTAATTTTACTATTTGAATAGCGCTGATCATTGTAGATGGTTGCCGGAAACCGCTATCAACTGAAGCTCCGGACCGAAGCGCGCGAGGGTGCTCAGCCGACCCGCGAGGAGTGGATCGAGGACGAGTCGTGCCGCCGGACGTACTACGCCGTTTACATCTTCTTCGGCATGCTCACGCTGACTTTCAACCACACTCCAGCGATGAGCTTCGACGAATTTGACAACTTGGAGCTGCCTTCCTCGGAATCCATGTGGAATTTGGATGTGACGGACGATGAGGCGTGGCGTCGCAGCTTAGCGTCCTCCACGCCGCTTACTGTTCGTGAAGCGCACGACTGCCTTTTCCAGGGCGAGCAGACGCGCTACAGTGCTTTCGCCACCCGTGTGCTGATCAACGCGCTTTTCCTGCAAGTTTGGAACCACAAGAGGAGCTTCGAGGCCCTCCAGGACGTGGTGACCGAATACAAGCTCCGCTTGGCGCTGGAGACGTGGGAAAATTCGCTGGAAGTGTGCGAGCCGGAAACGATTGTGGTGCCTCTCAGCACCCCTCAAAAGGGTCACCCCTTGATTTTCAACTCGATGGCCGTCTACCGCAACACTCGCGCCCGCCTGGAAGTTGACCTCAAGTCCATCCAGGAGGCTCTGCGCTACCACTCATCTTACGAGGTCGCTGCTGCGATGACTGTCGCACGCGAGAAGGTCAAGCGGTCTCAGGAGATGAATAAGGTTATTCAGTCGTGCTTTGAGTGCATTGAGATCGCCGCCGTTCAGGGCATCAACTGGGTCGCCAAGACGTCGGCAACCAACTGGAGCGTCGAGCATCCTCTCTGCGGCTTGGACTTGATGGTCATCCTCAGTCTCTGGCTCTATCGCCTGGAACATGACGAAGAGCCCGCAACGGAGGCTGAGATGGCCATCTACAATAAGGTTCGGAATTTGTTTGATGATGACGCCGTCGATGCTTTTGGAAAACTCAGCTCCACCGTGGCCCGTGTATGGGGTAACATCCTAGACGGCGTGGTAGTTTGGGGGTAAGTTGATCCTCTACTATGCTCATGCTATGATATCGTATGCTAATACTTTAACAGAATTACAAAGCTCATGGGCGAGTCATTCAAACTTCATTCCCAGGCCTTGGTCGGCTACGAAGATTCGTTGCGCGTCGCCAAGGACCAACCTATTCACCCAATGCCGACGAAGACGCTTGCCAGCGTTGGCACCGCGTACTAGTGCGATCAACATCTCTACTCGACGGACAGGTAGCTTGACCATGGTCATCTACGTCACCAACTAAGTTCTTCTTCATTCTCGTTTTCATTCATTCCTTACGCGGGCATTGGTTTTTTTATCTGATTTGGGTCGCGGGTGGATTTCGGATTGGGTCGGGAACGGCGAGCAAGTGGCGGCAGAGAATTCCCAAGGGATGCTATGATCTGGACTGCCGCATCATGCTGCTTGCTGGCGTTCCCTGGCTCACAGTCAATTGCTTTATTGTTTTCTGCGACGTCTTTCATTGCGTTATGGTTTCGCAAGAGCTCACGGGAGTCCGGTGTGGTCATTTTCTTGTTTTTGTGGGTTGTTTTCCCAAGGCAACATCTCGACACCCGGCTGGTCCTGTGTGTTCATCCTAGCACTCGGTGGAGTTGTTGTTTTTTCATTGCCTTCTTCTTATACGCTCTTCTACGCCCTAATCATTAGTGCCGTCCGTTCTACATGTGCGCATCAGCGTGTTTGGTCAATTGCCTTGGGGTTACCCTAGGCCATCTTTGATACCTTTGTCCGTTATATACATTCTTCTGCTTCAAGTCATTCGTTCAGACCTTTTGATCTATTACTTTGTTTCGTGACCACTTAATGTATTGCGTTAAATCGTTTGATATAGTGATGTGTTTATGTGTCCCCGCCGTTGATGTTCTCCGCTCTGATTTTGTTTTGCTTTTAATTTTTGGCATCGTTGATTTGAATTGTTTAATTGCACATGCTTTGCTTGACCTTTATCAGTAGTTCTCTGTACCATAGTAATTTGCGCAGAAAATATAACTTGTTGGCGGGGTCAGCATTTGCAGTATTGTAGAGTTATTGAACTGGCTGAAGTTGACTGAATTGCTGGAGTAATCGCAAGAGTTGAAAGAGTGGGTCAGCCAGCACGGTGGATCAGTGGGGGATCTGGTTTGCGGGTGCTTATCAGGAAAGAAAGGAGGCCGACCATCGCGGGGAATGAAAGTGAACTGAAGTCACAATGAAGGAGAATGAAATCCATGGAAGTTGCAGAGACTGGAATTTGGGAGATCACTGGACCAGAGCAGGTGACTTGTTGCTTACCTTACCCCTCTTTGCTTCTGCAGCAAGCAGTGATGCCCGTTCCTGGTTCCTACAAGTACTCCATAGTTAGCTCCTGGATCCTTCTTCCTCTTCCCCTCACCTTATCATTCACTTAGTACTATTACTCCAACTGAATCAATCATGGCCCTCCCTTCCAACGTCCACGTCTCTTCCCATCCCCTCCTCCAAGCCAAGCTATCACAGCTCCGGTCCGCATCCACCTCGACCCGCGAGACCCGCAGTCTGGTGCACGAGATAGCCACTATCTTGGGCGTGGAAGCATTTGCAGCAGGATGGAAGGTGAAGAAAGCAGGAATGGTGAGTCTTCCTCTATCAACGATTTATCAATAGACTTATTGACTTATTTGAATAGGACACCACTCCGTTAGGCACCGAATACGTCACTCACGACATTGATCCCTCGGACATTGCTTTGGTGCCTATTCTCCGGTCTGGGTTGGGCATGATAGAGGGTATCTTCCCTTTCCCCCATACTACCTCCTATCTCGGGCACCCACATACTCTCACCGACCAATTCCTAACATCCAATGACCATCAACTCAAAAACCATCAACTCATAACTAATGATTATATAATGAACAGCAATAAACAACCTCCTCCCCACCTCCATTCCAATCTACCACCTCGGTCTCTTCCGCGAACGTCTCACCCTCCAACCCGTCGAGTACTACAACAACCTCCCCTTCCAGCCCGACAGTTCTAGCACCAACACCGCCGCTGCTGCAACAGCCATCCTACTCGATCCTGTCATTGCAACGGGTGCTACCGCAGAAGCAGCGATCCAGTTACTCCGTGAATGGGGCGTGCAGAGAGTCGTCATGTTGAGTGTGCTGGGTTCGGAAGCGGGCGTGCTTCGCGCAGCGGGGACCTGGCCTGAGGGCGTCGAGGTGTGGACTGGGGCGGTGGATGCGAGGTGTGATGAGCGGGGGATGATTGTGCCCGGGTTGGGGGATATTGGGGATAGATTGTTTGTTGCGATGGGGAAGTAGATGCTAGCTGGGGAGCGCTGAGCAGCAGGATACTTATACTAACTAGGTTGTGAAGCGCTTCACGCTTCACAGGTCTACTTTACTTCTTAGGGTATGTAGTGGGAAAAGAGATGGATAGATAGCCAGCAGTAGGTAAATAGACATGAATGATCCGATCAACCACCCGGTTAATAGATCAATAGATGAAAGATAAGAAAATTCACCTCCGCTGCAAAAACCCCAACACATCCATCTCAACCCCATACTCCATCTCATCCCTCCTACCACCACCACCAGCAACACCATTAACATTAGACCCCAGATTCATCCTCCCCCCAATAGGAGCAATTGGAGCAATCCCCACCGGAATCTCCCTCCCAGCACCACCACCACCACCACCAGAAGCCGAAACAGCAGTAGAAGTAGGCGTCATGGGCCCCAAACTCGGCGACGAAACCACATCCATCCCGGTAGTCAACGCCACCCCGATCTCATTCTCCTTATACATACCCACCCCACTTCCAGCAGAAGCAGAATTCTCGGGAGTAATAATAATATTCCTCTGATGCAACCCCAATCCTGCACTTCCATCCAAACACCTACCATCATGCACATGACTATGTTGAGAATTGAATTTCTCCCCGATCCCTCCCCTCCCGTGATGGATTCCCCGCGTGAGGAGCATCTGCCGCCGGAGTTTCTGGGCGTGTTCGGAGCGGAATTCGGCTGCTGTTTAATCCACCCGCCCCACCAGATATGGGATGTTAGTATGTGTTTGATGATGGAAGAGATGGGTGTGTGTGTGTGTATGGGGTAAGCGTTACCTCTCCAGAAGAATACATATACGCCCATCACGACGAAACAGGCGGCTAGGAAGCCGAAGAGGATGCCGAGTTCGTGGGAGAGGGAGGTCATGGGGGTGTAGGGGGGGATGTTGTGTGGATTGTTCGCAGTAGTAGTGGATTCTGATGGGCGGGTTGTGGTTGTTATTGGTGAGGACATTTTGATCTTGGTGTGGTGGTTTTTGGTGTTGGAGTTGGGTGTGTTGAGATTGTTAGGTAGATATTGAAGGTGGGAAGACTGTTGTTCTTGTTATGATGGTCGTGTATCAAGTTGGAGTTGGAGTTGGACTACACTCTGTAGTCAGAGTAGGAGTAAGAGGGGTGAAAGTAGTGGGGTTGGGTCCCATTCACTGAGATAAAGAATAGAGAATGGAGATGGCTGCAGTCTGCAGATGCATGTCGCTCGTGTTCTTTGTCTGTCTGTCTGTCTGTCTGTCTGCGCAGTATCATCATTGGTTGTCGCACTCGTACTACCCGGATCGGTCAACAAAGGCCGGAATTGAAATCAGCAGTGAAGTTGAATGAATAGATTCAGTATTCATGATCAGTTAAGTAGTAAGTAGTAAGTGTAAGTAGTAGTAAGGTAATAGTAAATACATCATCAAACAATAGCCTCAATGGCACAAATCAAGGTATCATGTACACGTACAAGAAGCGTCAGTAGAAGTAGGTAAGGTAAAAGGTAAAACGACCCGGTCTATACATGGGGGTATGGTATGAATGCAAAGGTCAAAAAGTAATGCAGACCTCACAAGAAGTGAAGTGAAGAAGCGAAAAGAATATTCTGCAGCACAGCCATAAATTCGATGGTGGCTGCTGCAATGCAATGCAAGCAACGCTCGTAGCAGAGAGCGACCGATCCGAGTCTAGTCGCCAAAGACTGTCGTGAAATGAAATTATAAGATAACTCCGAATGCAAGTTGGTGCAGCATGAATATCGAGTTGAAAGTCGAGGAAAGGTCTGGATCACCCCAGCATCACTGCTGCCAATGCCGTACAGGTCAATCCAATAGCCATGCCAATCCATGGTGTTTGTCCGAGTGTGCCTTCACTCCGTGCGCGCAACGCCTTGGTTTCCCCTGTTGATGCGGCCAGGCCGATTCTCCCACTCGCTGGTTCGGGCAGTTGATCTTGCACCCGTGTCGCATCTGTATTATCTTCGATCTCAAACAGCGTGCGAATCTCCCATAACTTCGCATTGAGCTCTGTGTTCGACGGCGTCGGGATCTCAGGCAACGGCGCGGGCGGGTTGGCATTGGGGAGAGAGGGCGTGGGAGACACAGCGGGAGGTATTTGAGCATCGGCCTCGACGGCGAGAGCTATCGTGGGAGCGAGACAGAGGAGGATCGTGGAGGTCTTCATCGTGAATGTATGTATGTATGTGTGGAGGTGGATATGCGAGAATGCGACGAGAAAAGGTCGGTGCGGAAGGAAACAATGGAAGCAAGGCTGCGGGATTCCAGAACGTGCTGGATTAAAGCCAAAAAAAACTCGTGCCAGGAATTATAATCCACCACTTTCAACAGTACCAACAAACGGAAGTAACCAAGTCCCACAGTATCGAGTCGATAGTAAGCTGAGTCGAGATCTGAAACGGGGAGCGCGACAGATGCGAAGAGCGAGAGCGCAAAAGAAACGACTGGCTGGTGTGTATCTCCTGAAAACCTGTAACGAACAATACAGGAGAGCAGGCAACGGCAACGACAGTGTGTAAGTGTAAGTTAAAGTGAATAGTACAGCAACAACCACAGCAACGACCGTCTCCAACAACGACAGGCACAATACAATATAAATAAAGTACAAGCAAGAGAGAGTTGCAACAGGAGGAAATAAAAAAGGGACGGACGGGAAAGCAGAAGAAGAAAAGAAGAAGGGGGAAAAAACAGGCGAAACGGCCCAGACGCTGACAGGCCAAACTGGAACGGGGGGGCCCTGACCCTGACTTTTGCCAAATTAGTGGAAATTTAATTCGTCTTTAGCGTTTTTGCGCCGACCTCTCCTCTTCTAGGAACAAAGCCCCACTTTCCCAAGTGGCCCCCAATAGATACCTGGTGGGGTTTTGCCCAGCCTGCAGTGGCCCGCTATCTTTCCCAGCTAATTGGCTGGATCCTGCCGTGTCAGCACGGGCTGGGACTAGCGTCAGTTGAAAGGATGTCTCGTGCCACTTACAGAAGCTTGTCAGGGAAGGGCGACGGTGGAACCAGGGACAATCCCTGTAACCATCGGCATCAGCTTTTGCCCGATTGGGAGAGGGTCTGGACCGGGTGAGCCAATAAGAGATGACAGAAACTCCACGCGAGGGCGAGGTTCATTTCCCGCTATTGGGTGAATGGAGGACGGGATGATAGTGCACTGTACTCTGTATAGGGCAGATAGATACTAGTATAGTACGTTAGTAATAAACAGTATTATTGTTCCCAGTATCTATCAGGCTATCTTAACTCCAAGTGAGACATTAATTTGCTTGTGCTCACCGGCCCTGGAAATGACGAGCTCAAGCTGCGTTAATGAAAATGTGCAAATCACTCTCAACAACACGGGATGTCGCATCAAACTTACACCGTCTATCGGCCCATCTATCATGCTTCATTGAAGTCTATCGAACATCACTTACTCGGCATCTCATACTTGATTACATACAGTGTCTGCCTCACTGCCCTCGGGTGGTCCGTGTACTAATTATAGTCCCGCTCATCACACACACTCTCTCTGTCCGCGACAATCAATCCCACAAGGCAATCAACATCAACACAACACCACACAATGGCTGTGGCGTGGCATGGCTGGCATTCCTTTCTTACGTCGTCACCTCTCACAGCCATCCATGTGGATAATACATCATCCCAAGGTTATTCCTCATTGGCATCTGAACTTTTGACAGTTCTATCTTTACTTCATATTTAGTATGAACATAACATCCGATCGGCCGTCCCCCAGCCATCCCGCATGACGTAAATCCCTTCCTGCCTCCCAAATAAACAAGGCCATCACAACAACAGCCCCATCTATAGTGGGATACTGTCAACATTCGACCAGCCTTCTCACGGTTACTACAACATCATGTTACAGCATCCTGTTACAGCATCTTCCCCCAGTCCGGTGTCACCGTAAACTTCCCACTCAGCTGTCCCATCGCCCACACCTTCTTTTCATCATCCGGGAATTCCTCGTCCGCTGCATTAGGCGGGGTCGACACGATCAACGCTTCCTGGAGAAAGTCCACGGCTGTTGCGCGATCCAGCTCGAAGCTGATGCCTCCCCAGTCCATCGTCACCCGACCCGACGCATGGACGTTCAGCTTGCCGACGCGCCCGGCGCTGAGGCCCCAGTCGGTTGCAGTGACAATCTTGGATGACGTCCCTGTTGCCGTGGCATCCTCTCCACCCTCGAGGATCTCCACGCCATCTTCGCGCTTGACGCCTGTCTGCTCCGACCCACTGGCCTCCGGTGCGCTCTGCCCCGCCATCGCATCTGTAGCTTCATCCGCTGGATTCTCGTTGTTGCCCGGTACCACCAGGTTCGGCGTCATCGGTGGGAATTGCATCAGGAACAGCTGCCCCGCCAACTTGTCCTTGTTGACATCCTCTTCCTCCTGCTCCTTGTCCTTGTCCTCCATTGTACTGTCCTTGTCCTTGTCCTGGTCATTCGCAACCACAGCAGGGGCCTCTCCCTCTGCCGGGGTGGTGGTCTCCGATTTTTCAGGTTCGGGCTCCTTCTGGAAGAGGTCCTTGACAATCTCCAGGTCCTGCTCGTGTCGCTCGTACTCTTCGATATCCTCCTTCGTGCGTAGTAAACTCTTCGGGTCCTTCACGGCAGCAGGGATCTCCATTTCGGGCTGGGGTGTCGCCTCGTTCGACGGGGGTGTGATTTTCCTGCGCACCTTGACCTTCTGTACCGGCAGCAATCCATCATCCGTCGTAGCTGGCTCCTCCGCATGCGGAACATCTGTCATGACCTGATCATCATCATCCGTAGGCTCAGACTTGACCTTGGGCTCTCCTTCCGTAGTAGCCGCAGCATCATCATCATTCTGCTGCACAAAGAGCGCACCATCATCCTCCTTCGCCTGCGCCTTAGCCTTCTCCCTCAGCTCCGCCGACTTGCTCGAGCTCGATTCCATATTGACACTGACCACGCGCTCCTCATGCTCATGTCTCTCGACGCGAATAGGCCGTAACCCCTTCTCAGCATCGGCATACTTAACCGCCGCCTTCCCCTTCTTGCTATCGACCATCATCTGCTCCTGATCCTCCTCATCACTATCCAAATTGATCTGGTCAATACTGATGCGCACCTCCCCATCACTCTCATCCGACGAATAATCGCGCGTCCCCGCACCCGCCGCCGTATTTCCCAGATCAATGACCGACCGACTGCGTCTCGACATAGACGAATGTCTCGAATCCTGTCCAAACCGTCCTCCTCTACCCCGACGCCCAGACATCCCCGAGCCCAATGGCCCGCCCGCAGACCCCAAAGGTCCGCCACGCCCGCGCCCAAACCCACCGCGACCACCAGGACCGCCCTGATCCCGGCCGCGCTGAATCGCCGCCGCCTCCTTCAGGCGCTCGCGGTGCCGCTCGGCTTCGAGCTTCTCGATGGCTTCTCGCTCCTCCTTGCTGCGACGGCCGACGGCGCGCGGCTTGTATTTGAGTGTGGGCTTGGCAGGTTCGCCGGGCGCAGCGGGCGCGCCGGGGGGTTTCTCGGCCGGTCCGATGCTGCCGGAGGGTGTGCGTTTCTTGAGCGATTGAAGGCGCTGGACGGGGGCTCGCCCGGAGGCTGATGGGCCGGGTGTTGGAGTCTGGGAGTCGCCCGTGGTGGTGGCGCTAGGCGCGGGACTCGCGGAGGCGGTTGTAGATGCATTGGCGCGGCTGGCTGCGCCGGCCGGTGCTCCTCGTCGGGGAGCACCTTTCGGAGGCATGATGGGTGGATGTGGATGATCAGAGTATGAGTGCGGTAGAGAGGTTGGGGTTGATAGCGTCGGGAGTAGTTTCGGAGTGACAACAAGCTGGAGGGGTATGTAGGGGGTAGCTCGTCCGCGGGTAGAGAGAGGAAGGGTAAACAGAAAAGGGAGGGAGAGGAGAGGAGAATTGGATGATGAAGTCGAGTGAAGATGAAGAAGATACGGAACTTTTTGGCAGGATCCGCGCCCGCTCGGCGTTGGAGAAAAAAAGGAAATTCGCGCCTCAGGCCGCCAATGCGGGGCAACGCCAGTCAGCCGGCGCTAACCTGATCCGGACATCACCTCAGATGTTCATCAATGATTCTCTCAATTAATGGCAGCCATTCACTGAACCATTGTGATGGATCGCATTGAGTCAGTCTTGAACAATGGGTCTATTCAGACCAGTATAGCAATAAGCCTGTTACTAGTAGTTGTTAGAAAGCTAGCCATTCATTGAGTTACCTGGGCTGTCTTTGAAATTCAATATATATTTCCTATTGATCACACTAGACCTCTTTGCAAGTTGTAACTCATCTCCAGTTGAAATCAGACGGGCACCAGCAAAGCCATTCAAAACACAACCAAGTAATCCAGATACATCCGCTCTTTCAATGGGGGCCTAAGTGAGTGGAGGCGACCCCGGACCGTGGCCGCGAAAACATTGCAGCAACTAACGCCAAAAGACACAACTCAGGAAGCTCAATCAACCCGCTCAGCTCAATCGCTAGACTATCCATGATAAATAACAGGCCAGGCAGAATGCAGACGGTAATGCGAACTAGGTTGGCGATCCGAGGAGAGAGAGGTGTAGAGAGAGAGAATGAAGGGAGCGCGGCACTCGTGACTTCGATGTGAGGTACAAAGAGAGACATCGTGTACGAATCCGCTAGTGATGAAGGAAGGACATCCCAAGAGGCAGGCCGGCTCGAGGGAGAGGAAGAAGTATTCAGTAGTGTGATAGGGAGATTCGGAGAGTTTCAAGATGATCAAGCCAACGGTCCGCGTGGAAAAGCTCGTTAAGGAGGGGAAGGATACGATGCACGGAAGAATGTCGATTCGTCTATGTTAAAAGGTGTAATATTTCAGGAGAAATGCAGCCATCCAGGCGCAGCTCATCGATGGTTCGGTACGAACGGTGTGGGCGAAAAAGAAAAAAGGAGATGGAGGTCATGGGCCAGGCACAGCCATCCTCATTGCTGGGATTGGAATCCAGCTAACGCTTGCGCTTCTTGTTCTTGTCCATGCTAGCCGCCGTGGTCACCGGAATAGCGGCCACAATGGATTGCGTCTCGACTCCGTTCGTAGTGGCGTCGAATGCTTTCTTGACAGGGACCCCCATGTGACGACCGTAGCGGCCTTTGCGACCGTTTCCTTCGTCTTCGCTGATGCACCCTTCAATGCCGATACCAGCATCCTTGCATCGGCCGCAAGGGCGCTGCCGATCGCAGCCCTTCTTGCTCTTACGGCATCGCTGGCAACGCGGCTTAGTCGACAAGTCCTCCTCGTCGGCGGCGAGCTGGTGCTGGAAGTTGACGGAAGAAGTCGATGTTTTGCGGACCGGCACAGGGCTCATCATCTGCGGTGATACCGCCGTCTTCTGAGCCACCGTGGTAGACGTCGCCTTGACTTTACGAGCGGCCCCATTGGCCGCTGGCTTGCTGCTCTTATTCGGACGCACGGGTGCTGGCTTGGGCCCGCGCGCCTTGGTGGTGCTGACAGCATGGGTGGGCCGAGTCTTAGCCTTCTTGGACTTGGGAGCGTCCCGGTAGAGAGTATCCTCATCCATATCATGCCTCACCAAGGTGTCGTTCAACTCTTCATGTTGGTATTCCTCATCGTAACCGTCGTAGCTTCCATCAGAGCTGTCAAAGCTGGGAAGGATATCGTCCAGATGCTTGTGTGTGCGCTTGGTGGCACCAGGTGGGAGCATGGGGCTGGAGTCGAGCCGCTGCTTGGACCGAGCGGGTAGATCATCGTCATCATCGCTGTAGTCATCACCATCGCTGGTTGCACCCGTCGAGGATGCAGCATCAGCGGCACCGCTGAAGGCATCATCAAGTGTGGAGGCAGAAGTACGGCCATGCGAGAAATTAGATGCGTCTCCCAGACGAATCAGTTGCATAGCAACATCCTCGTCGGAAATGCAGCTGGCAATGGTAGGATCTGGGGTGGGGAGGATGCCCGGGCCGCCGCCTCGACCAGCCTGGTTGCTATACTGCCCACCAGAGGACTGGGTAGTGGTTCGGTCGCGCAGCCGGTGGCCATGCTCAGGAACCACAGGGGTGGCGTACACCGGATTGCGCACCGGATTGACGCTATAGATCTGCTCATTGTATCCATAGCTCTGTGGAGACGGCAATGGTTGTTGGTTGTAAGGGCGCTGGGTGGGGCGTGCGAAAGGTGAGATGGCCCCTTCCTGACCGATTGACCGGCGCTGGGGCGAGATCGACGACGTGGAGGTTGTGAGCGGGACCTGGGGAGGGACGAACAAAGGCAATTCCTGAAAGGAGACAAAGACACAACGTTAGTAAATATGGTTTCAACAGAGACGGGGAAAGAAAAGATGCCCGCCACGAACCGAACTTTCAAACTTGGGCCGTTTCCGGCGGCCATCTTGAAGGATGTTTTCCATGCTGATATCTGAGCTGCCAAACTGCTCGGTTCGGGACTTCTTCGTCCCAGAGTAGCCACCCTCGCTATCGCTATAACCAGGAGTACCCTCCTCGTGGAAGCTGCCATGAGTGCTCGAGCCTCTACTCTTGTTGCCTACCCGAGATGACTGCTTGTTCTGAGATGCGCTACGACGGCTGCGACCAGACGGGGATACACTGCGTTTCCGAGCCAGCCGCGACGCCGGGCGAGAAGGTGGTTGGGCGTGTTCCAAGACCTGCGCCGGCGGCATTGCCGGCGGCATCTGGAAGGGCTCCCCTAAGCTGGGACGCTTGCGAGCCTCGGCGGGAAGGTGCCCATAAAACCGATCACCGTAGCCCTCTGTGTATGCCTGGACGGGAATAACCCGCACATAAACAGTCATGTTGTTCCGTAGATTCTCATACCTGGCAATGAGGGTAATGCCTTGCTCGTCTTCGAAGCTGACACCGCTCGCAGCACCATCGTAGATGCCGTAAAAATTCTTAACCGTAGTCACAATGGAATCCGTTGTGTCATGAGGGTAGATCTGTACCCGCATAGGTATGCGGGCCCGGACCTTGGAGTTCTCATCGAGAAGTAGCTCAAAGGCGACGTTCTTAGGAACCGAGCTCCGGGGGGAGGGTTCCTGAGGCGGCGCACGATGGTCGGTGTAGGCAGGCGACTCCCCAGGGGCAGCATGCTGTTCGTACTGGACAGCCTGCATGGTGGGAGAGTCTGAAAGGAGGCACTACCACACTGCTACTACATTGATGTATGAATCAATCGGGTGTTCGAACTCGGGGAGGAAGAGCGGTCCGGGCGAGAAGAGACAAGAGGGTGGGTGGGGGGGAAAGGAAACAGGCAGAGACGGGGAAGAGGAGGGTATGGGCAATTTCCATCCAAACCTACCACAACAGAGAAACCAGAGGGGTTCAGTTGATAGATGGACTACCCGCGACAGTTTTTATGGATATGTTGGATGGCGATGCAGAGGGTGGTCGGTGGGAGGACGACGGCACCTCAGTCGCAAGAGCCGAGAGCGACGGGAAAGGCAAAGAAAAAGACGGTCGAAAACCTGGACAGCCACCACCACGAAAGTCAGCACGATGTGATGCAAAAGATGTCAATGAGAAAGGAAGATGTCTGGAGAAGGGAATCCAAGTTGATTCGATGACGCCGAGACCTCCCTAGTCGAATCCTGATGGATTGCAGATTGGGAGGAGAAACGACCCGAAACACTCGGAAGACGATGGAGAGCATCAAAGACGTACCGATGGCAAATCAAACCTAGTTATTTAGAGTCGCACCCGGCTATCGGATCCGACAAGATGAGAAAGGAAGGATAGCGATGGTGGTTGAGGATGTAGGAAGAGGGGTGGGCCGTGGGAGGTGAGTCGTTCTACCAAGCGCTTGGGTATGTCAGCGGTGGCATCACGCAGAGCCAAAGCGAGTCAGGAGAACCAAAGGGCCAGGAAAGGGGGAAAGCAGATGCAAAGAAAGATCAAAGTCATGTTTAACGATGGACAGGAACCTACCTGATCGATATGCACCAAAATTTCGAAGGGAAATGGTCAAGAGAATGGGCGAGAAGAAGTCGGGTTGGGTCGAAGAGAAGGTTGAGGAGGGAGAGAGAGAGAGGAAGAGGGAGTGGGCGCTGGATGGATGGATGGATGTGGTTTCACCCAAAGCGAGCAGAGGTGGCCTGGGTCGGTGACAATCCATCCTCTTGAATGCACCCTTTTCCCCCCACAGACATCCCCCGACTTCCTTCCAGATGCGAATTGATTCCCTATATTCTCTATCTAGCCTGTTTTTTTACTTGCGCGTTGCTTTCTTTCATCGCAAAATCCTAAATCGCATTGCGTCCGAACGGACCGGCTTCTATCTGGATCTACGAGATCGGCGACTCTGCCTTGAAGGTCTTCTGGCAGAAAATAACATACAAAGTACCTGTCAGATGAATCGCTAAAACTACACTTTTATAATGCTGTAACTTTTATTCCAAAACAATGCCAGTAATGGGGTGTAGGGTCGGTGCAAAATGCTTTGGGATTCTGGAGTATCGGCCGGGTGTTGGCGCAAACGACGGCGACATCGTCGATCTGCGACCACAGAACAGGTGCAGAGTACTTTTGAAATACCAATCTACGGACATTACAGAAACACGGAAAAGAGAATCACCTGTGGATTAGGATCATTATTATTATTATTGCTCCCATTTAATTCTTTGTGCACCCAACGGACGAGACGGTTGACCAGATGAAGCGGAGTGGCGTAGGGTCAAGGTTGGCTGGCACTTCCTCAGCGCGGCCACGTCGAATGACACCCCCGATCACATCCCGGCTGCGGAGAGCGAGTGATGGACGCTTTCTTCATGTCGGTCCCCATTTCGGGTTTAACTCCCTCAGAAGGTGGACTTTTGTAGCAGAATGATAGAGTGAATATCTCGTAGCAAATGTTTAAAACAGCTGAGTTATAATTACAGACCAAACAAGCAGCGAAAAGATCCGAAGAATGTATCCTGGAATAAGGTTGGTTCCCTTTTTCCCTACGTGGTGGGCAAAGGACGCAATTAAAGACGACCGACCAACTGTCTCCGGAAAGAACTTGTCCCCCTCTCGCGGCGACCAATTCCCTCACGCTGGTCGCGCAAGGTTCCTCCCATGCTCAATGCTGAATGCTGCCATTCATTACTCGCGGGGCGTAAGACATGCATGGTTTGGAATAACCGGTTGAAGGGCGATCGATGCTCCGGATCCCCATATTGGGGAGAAGGAATTCTCCTACGGCGCAAATGTCCTCCATCGATGGCCTCAGGCTCATCATCCATCGCCAGTAGGTAGACTAGTAGTACGACTACTATAGTAGTAGTAGTTAGTAGTATCCTGGCATCGCCAGCACGGAATCCCGGAGAAACAACCAGGTCATCATCACTAAAGAAAAAGAAAAGGAAACAACGGAACAGCATGCAATGAATGAGGGGAGAGCAATCCAACCTCACCAACCATCGCTACCGGGGGATGGAGACAGGAAGATTGAGATTCATTGGGCCAGGGCGCTGCAACGACAGAGAGCCAACAAGCCGACGAGCAACAACGCCCAATTGTTGCCTCGTTTCATGATCTGCGCCTGTCCAGACTCGTCCTTTTACCCCTCCTCGGAAAACGGTGGGCTACGTAAGGATCCCCGTCGTTCGTTCACCAACTTTCGGGCAGGCACAAGACTGAAATTCTTTGCGACCAGACTGATTGACTGACAGCTACTAGATACTCTCATCATCCAAGCACCTCCAAATCCTACGGACAGTCCTTTGGCTTTCTGTCCCGCGGGTCCTTAAATCGCAATCTGCCAGGCCGGCCATTCCCATGTCTGCAAGGTCCAGTGCGACTTCGCAGCGGCCTGTGAACTAAACCCTCGGAGGGTTCCTTGACTGCCAATCCGCGGTTTAACGATGTCTTGCGCGTTGCACTGGGGTCTCTACATAATCACAATCCTGGCTCCAAGCGATCGAATGAGATTGAGCGATGGTCGATGGACTGAGAACAACCAACTGGCGTAACAATGCCGTTAGCCGGGTGGGGGGGAACTGGAAGGGCTGCATTCCGCAAGGAAGTTAATGAGTATGATAATGATGGGTTCATATATATATATATATATATTTACGGCAAGAATTAGGCTCTATCATTCTTCCTCTTGTGTTTGCCAAAGTAATCTTTAGTTAAATTAAACACAATCCTGTCTCGTGCGATCACTCCAATTGTAGAGTTGGGAGTGTTCCTTATTGAGGCACTCAAAGCGGGGCCTGCTCCAGAGTCAATAACCAGCCCGGCCGGTGCTTCAATAGTCATCATATTTTTGCCCATAATGCTAGCTAACTAACTGGGTTTGCTATTGTTGTTGGTCAGCCGCCAGTCAAAAGACACACCGAAACTTTGCGTATCTTCAATAGTCCGCTTTCACCGTTCGGTTGTCCGCGACACCTCAAATGGCGGCTGGTCGCCAGCAATCCAGTGTTCATCCTTCCATCCTCTCCCTCTCTTCCTTTACAATGCACAATGAACCACAGGATCAGTCAGGGCAAATTTGCGACCATCGCATAACACATGCCACCAATACTGGCTGATTCACTGATGGCAAATCCGGTGGAGGTCGGACTTTTTCGCACACGACCATCGACAAACCCGCTCTTATGAATCCCGCCGCCTCATGATAGGTACCGCCGGATCCGCGTCCCACAATGGGGGGAAACTTGTGGCTTCCTGGCGAGGTTGGCATTCTGCGCGGGTGTAAACGGGACCCAAAGATCAGTCCAAAGTAAGTGCCAGTTTAAAAAACCCGCAAAAAGCCAGGCCAAAGATGTAAACTGTAAGCCTACAGGAAACATGGATTCCTCAAGTCATCGACGGGACTGCGATTATCATGGCCCGTCATCATTGGCATTACCAGATTCCAGCTGGAATCTCGACCCGAATGGCCCATCCACCCCATCCTGGTCCAGACGTTTCGCTCAAAGACAATCGGTGCCCTGCCATGCGACACCGGTGAGCCTGGTCAATAGTGCGATCGGGGGTCCTGGATAGATAGTAGGTTTGGTCGCAAGCTGAATTCAACATTCCGGTTGCTCCAACCTCCGCTTCAAGCGTCAAATCCCGGAGCGAAGATGGCAGCCCGCCCGCCCGTTCTATGTCACGTGAACTCGCGTTGGGTGAAGCCCGGCTTCGTGTGGCCCGGCGCGTCAAGGACCTGGCGGGATATTAACACTCATTGTCCACCACAACCGTAAGTATTGGCAGATAAAGCTGTCGGGATAGAATCGCAAGTTAGTCTGCGATATAAATTGCGTTTTTATCATCAGTTATACTCGTGCTTTGAAGGAGAAGATGGTCAGTAAAGGAATTGATGTGCTGGCGGGAGGACGCGTTAGATGATGTCACCCGTTCTGAGAGCAAGCAAACAGCGCAAACAGCAGCTGACCTAAGCATGCCATAGCAACCCCCGAAGAGGACTAGCGCGAGTGTTGTTGACGGTAACCAAGTAAGGAAGTGACCGTTTCGGGCAATGCTGGTGGTTGCCCTTGAGATCCAGTTCAAACTCAGCTTGTGTTTGTCCTGCCCTTTCTTCGTTGCTGGACGCCCTGTTTTTGTCAATGTATTGGTGTTAGTCGTCGTCTTTCAACCAACCTCCTCCCTCTCGTGGCACCCAATCTTAACACTCAAAGCCTGGTCGACTGGCGCTATCGCTCGAGCCCTTGGCGCGGTCTTGTGTTTGTTTGGGGTCGCATTTTTAGTATAACTTTAGCTGCGACGACCAACTCCTGCGCAGGGCGCAGAGAAGTAAACAACCACCCACCCTTCCCCAAGCTTTCCAAACACGGTCCTGGAGGCTTCAGAGTATTGTCTCTCTTCATTCAAGATGGACGCAAAGGTACGTTATCATCCATTGCATGTTCTTCCTGCCTGTCAGCCGCCCAATCGGCTTATAAACATGGCATGCATGTTCACGGTGCTGCACGCGCACCGACGGCTTAGCCTCCGAATACCCCTTCACCAATGTCGCAACATAGTTAATTACACTGAGCTGACGAGGTTTATGGCATTAGCCCCAGAGAATTCGCGTCCGTGGTGACGAGAACGCCCCCTTCCCTCTCGCGGCCAACAAGACCCTTACCCAGAAAAACAAATCCACGCCTGCCTTGTCCACCATGTTCCAAAATGGCGCTAACAAAGGTGCGGCCAAGCGGGCTGCTTTTGGCGATGTCAGCAACACGGCTAAACCAATTCACGCGGGTCGCGATGATATCTCCCTGGCGGGCAAGAAACAGACCAAAGGGGCAGAGAAGGCGGCGTTGATCGTCGAGAAGAAGCCCAGTCTGGCGCAGCCAGCTCAGCGGCCCATGTCGATGGCTGGCATGAAAGGCCTCTTGAGCAATGTGCCCAACGCCAAACCCATCGAGCCTTCCAAGCAAATTGCCATGCAGCAGCAAACTGCAAATACTAGAAAGATCTTAAACAAGAGGGCTACAGTATTCAAGGACGCGTCGGAACCGTCGAACAACAAATGCGAAATTACATCCAAGGAAACCAACACCGAACTAGAGGAAGGGGACAACAAGGCATCCCTTGCACAGGCGTCCGCAGCTGCGAAGCGGACCACTACGAAGGAGGCAGCTACACACGAAGAGGCGAAGCCAGTTCTGGAAGACACCGAAGAGAATTCCATTGTGGACTCTGAAGTTGATGAGGCAGAGAAAGCTTTACTAGAGGCTGACGATGATCATTGCAAAGTCCAAGATCATAGCGAGGATCCCAACCCCCGCGAGCTCCCCGCTGCGCCCGAGGTCCCTGAATCTCACCGCGTCGCGAAGGCTCATCGTGAATCTGCCTCGACCTCGCATGCACCGGCCCAGTCGGAGCCGGAAGATTGGGATGAAGAGGACGAGCACGAGGAGGAAGATGGGTATATCACTGCTCGCTCCTACCGCTCTCGTGGCGAAAATACCACTGGGGGTGCCACCACAGTGCTGTTCCCCAAGTTCACCCAGCAAGTCCGACGCGAATTAGCTCTTGCGGAGCAGGTCGTGGAGGCCACACGTACTGAGGAAGACATTGAAGATGAATGGTACGATACAAGCATGGTTGCGGAATACAGCGAGGAGATCTTCGAATACATGAGAGAACAAGAGGTACGTACTAAGTCGAAAGGCCCAACTGTATCTATTATTTAGCTGCTTACACTGCCTACAGATCAAGATGCTGCCCAACGCTCACTACATGGATAACCAAGCAGAGATCCAATGGTCTATGCGGTCTGTGCTTATGGACTGGGTCGTGCAGGTCCACTATCGGTTCTCTTTGCTTCCCGAGACCCTCTTTCTGTGTGTCAACTACATCGACCGTTTCCTTTCTTGCAAGATCGTGTCCCTTGGCAAACTTCAGCTCGTGGGTGCCACTGCCATCTTCATCGCTGCCAAATATGAGGAGATCAACTGCCCGTCTGTGCAGGAGATCGTCTACATGGTAGATGGGGGATATTCGATGGATGAGATTCTCAAGGCTGAACGTTTCATGTTGAGCATGTTACAGTTCGAGCTGGGGTGGCCTGGCCCGATGAGTTTCCTGCGAAGGATTAGCAAGGCCGACGACTACGACTTGGAGACGCGCACGCTTGCCAAATACTTCTTGGAGATCACTGTCATGGATGAGCGGTTTGTCGGAAGCCCCGCGAGCTTCGTTGCCGCTGGCGCTCACTGCCTGGCTAGGCTCATGCTGCGGAAGGGAACCTGGGTATGTCCTTGGCCAGCTGGAACTCGAAAGAAGTCGTTCTAACATGATTACAGACTCCCGCCCACGCCCACTATGCCGGATACACTTACACGCAGCTTCTCCCACTCATTTCTCTCATGGTGGAATGCTGCGAGAATCCTCGCAAGCACCATGGCTCTATCTACGAAAAGTTTTCTGACAAACGCTACAAGCGCGCTTCTCTGTTCGTCGAGAACGAGATGAGAAAGGGATTCATTATCCCGGAGCAGACCAGAGATAGCTCCCATTCCGATCGCAACGCATCAATTGAATCAGCGCACTACTGGAAGCGCGCATAGCCGCTCATCAAATCACTCGCGCTGATTTCTTCGACCTCTTTTAACCGCTACCAAATACAGAAACTCAACCCAGAGTTGTTGTTTACCTCTGCATATAGAGCATGAAATTGTCTGACACGGCGCAGGGGTTCAGGGTTTGCTGGCTACACGGCCCTGCAGCCCGTGCCTGTCGAAGGCTGCTAATACTTGAAAATAAGAGGCGTGAGTGTGCGCAGAAGCTCACGTCGCCAATCCCCCAGGATCAAGGTCCTCACACCCTCATTTACCTTTTTTTATGATACCAAGACATGTGACGTCTATGGCCGTGCATGCAAGATGTAGATCACGCAAGAAAACTGATGCCGTGACCGGAATCGGATATCAGGGAGACGGAGTTCTTTTTGCTTTTAAATTATTTCTCTTTTCTTTTCTTTTCTTTTTCTTTTTTCTTTTCTTTTAATGATTTGCACGACGGTTGAAATCATGCAAGCAATCCGGGTTCGGGAGTTAATGGGTCGATGGCTTGTCTTTTCATACAATCCCTCCTTTACATTTTCTTCATTTCTCTCCTATGTCGTTATGCCCTTGTGTTCTTTTACTTTTCTCGACTATCACGACCTGTTTTGCACGCTCCCGGCAGATTGCTGCTATCCACGGGATTTTCATGACGAACAGCGCGCTCGCCTGAGCATCGCTATAATTCATTACCCTCTGATTTCCTTTGTTTCGTTGGAAATGACGTTTACCGTTCGTCTATTACCGTATGCATCGTTCTGTGGATTATTATCCAGGTTTATGACGCAGGAGTTAATGCAATTGGATCTATCTCAGTAGCCTCAGTTACAGATGACTAGATATCGTAGTATTCGAACCGAAGCCTATCAGTCAAGCCAAGTCAGATCCACGCCCATGAACATCAAATTTGTCATGAATTACACCCACATCTAATCTTCGCAGGATCTCTATCTTTTTGCTAGCCTCTACTACAATATACTCATATACTCCCCAACCTCACTAACCAAAACATCCACCCAAAACTAAAGCCATCCAAAATCTACTGATCCAACCCATTAAACTCAATCAACCTCTTCACGACCTCAACCACCTTATCTGCCGTCCTAGCCCGCTCACCATCCTCACCACCATTAGGCTGATCAATCCTCATCGCAATAATCTCATCCAACATCATCCGCAACCTGGAGACCAGAACACCGATGCGAGCCCATCCGCGCAGCCGTAACCATCCGTCGACGATCAAGCCGCGGCCAGCGGTGTCGAGGTCGATGGACCCGCAGAAGAGGAGGAGGGAGTAGGCGTTGAATGCTATATACCATTCTTTGTTAGTATACATTTCTCACAGGGTACAGATGTATAGTGGAGGGATGATCGAGATAAGGGATAATAACTTACGTGTCAAATCACGAACAAACACCTTACTCGTCGCCATTTTGGTAAAGTAGCTGAGATATGCAGATGAGCTGGGGTATGATTGGGCCGAGAAGCAGACGGAAGAAGGATGAATGAAGACGCGGCCATTCTCCTGGTTGAAGTATTTGATTGTTCGTGCGTCTGGGTCGATTTCCACGGTTCCCGTGACGGAGCTGGCGAATTTCTTGTCTGGGAAGGAGATTTGCGCAATCTGAGGCTGGAAGGCGCCGGCGATTAGGGCGCGGAGGAGGGGTTTGTTGGATGCGTTGCGGTTCCAGCGAGATGATGAGTCGGAGGAAGAGTAGTCGACAGGGAGGAGGCCGGCGTCTTTGAGGGAGGTTAGGAGTTGGAATTTGTTGGAGGAGATGTCGCGGAGGGTTTGATGGGAGAGGAAGTTGGCGGAGCACCAGGATTGGGTTTGCCAGTAGCCTTGGGCGTTGACGCGGTCGGACCACTGTTGGTAGGCGAGCAGATCAGTGAGAAGGTCGCCGTCGGCGCCTTTGGAGAAGGAGGCTTTTGCGGCGTTGGCTTCTTCGCGTTTCTCGCGCGGGGAGACGAAGGGGCTCTTGACGGTCAGGATGGCGGAGATGGTGACGCAGGCGTCGATGCAGCTGAAGATGGAGCCGTAGACCATGAGTTTTGCGCAGCGGAGATCCGCCGGGATCATGGAAAGGTAGCGGCCCAGGGCGGTTAGTTTGTCGTGGTCGAGAGCGCCGACGCGGTGCAGGAAGTCGAGGGCTCCTTCGACGGCGGTGCTTTCTGGTGGAGTGATGGTGTTGGCTAGGAAGGTGGCGACGTCGTTGATGCCCTGCATGGCTTTGACGGATAGACAGAGCTGCTCGAGGGGTACTCGACGAATCTCGGGGTCTGGACGCTGTGCCATGTTTGCCTCTGCTTTGCGGGTGTATAGTTTGTAGCATATACCGGCTCGGACACGACCGGCTCGACCACGTCGTTGCTTG